ACTCTATATAAGATAGGTTTTATATTCATGAATTCTGATTAATGTAATCTCCCTTCCCCTCCCTTCCCCAATCCCTACCTCTCCTTCCCTTCCCTCCTCCCCTACCCTCCTCCTCTCCTTCCTCCCTATCTTCCTTCCTCTTCGCCCCTTCCCTTCCGTCTGCCTCTCTCGCCCCACGTTCCCTTCTCCCCCCCCTCCTCCCACCTTCACTCTTCTCCTCTTCCCACCTTCCCCCTCATCCCTTCCCTCCCTCCCCTCCCCTTCCCTTCCCTTCCTCTTTCCTCCCGCCACCAACTGCATAACTGGGACGACTATTGCCCACATCCCTATACTGCGAGTGGCTTCATTTTCATCGAGTTAGACGCTCGTTTGCGTCGCAGGCGCGCGTCTCCGTGCGTGCCAAACGCCAGCTTCACGCTTCCAGCATCTTCCCGCTGCATGCAGCATCCCTTATTCATCCGCACAAACAAACCCGCAGCAAAATCCGATCAAATATTAATGACTCCCTCACAACACCCAGCTATCGAATAAACATAAAGTGCGATAAGGCGATCGAGTGCGAGACGAGAGAGGGAGGAGGGCGTGCAAGAGAGATGGAGAACGAGAGGGAAAGAGAACGAAAGACAGACAGACGACCCAGAGAGGCAGAGAGAGAGAGAGAGAGCGAGAGAGAGAGAAAGCCGCGCGCGCAGCGCGCGTCGAGAGAGAGAGGAGAGAGCAGAGAGATGAGAGACGCAGTAAAGCCTGCGCGCGCTCGCGAGGAGAGAGAAGACCCCATGCGCGCGCGTGCGAAGAGAGAGAGAGATGGAGAAGGGATGAGAGTGCGAGGAGAGCACAGCGCGAGCACCACTCTGACGCGACCGAGAGACAGAGAAAGACGAAGCAGAGAGAGGAGAAGAGTAGAGACTGAGCGCGCAACGCTGAGAGAGAGGAGGACGGAGCGCGCCGCGCGGCTGAGAAGAGAGGAGAGAGAGAGACTCGAGAGTCGAGAAGAGATGAGAGAGAGAGAGAGAGAGAGCGGGTGGAGCGACGCGGGGGTAGGCGGTGGATGCTGTAGTAGGCAGAGGCGTGGGGTAAGGACTGTTGCCAGAGCCGCAACGAGAATATTGGGAGGATCGCATCACTGGGGCAAATCGCTGGCGTGTCAAGCATATCTTAGTACGCCAGATATTTGAATCCCAGCTGCACCGACACATAGCTCAATGGGAGAAAGAATCGTAACCTTTTCGCCATGGAAGGCTTTGCCGCTGCCGTCAAGATGCTGGTACGAGAGAGAACGACGGCTGACAGAGAGAGAGAGAGAGAGGACGACGAGCAGAGTTATCGAGAGAGAGGAAGAGCGAGGAGAGAGAGGAGCAGAAGAGAGAGGAGTGTAGAGAGAGAGAGAGAGCGCGAGGAGAGAGGGAAGAGGGGGAAGAGAGCCAGAGTCCGCTGCCCCCTCAAATAAATACCCTCCTCAGTCGACCATCACCCCGCCCACCCACTCCCCTCCGCCGTCACGCCTGCCGCTCTCCTGCTGTCCCCTCCCCTGTGCCCTCTCCCGC